TCTGATTGGCTCAGCCTTTTGTTTTGAAGAAGTTTTCTTGTCTTTTTTCTTTTTATATAAGACAACTGTAAATTCCTTCTCAGCATTGTCAAAGTGAGATTGCAAATTGATGTCATTTGCAATTAGAACTAAGAAAGAGTTTAGAGCTTGAGGTTTTTCTGTTTCTGTGATCATAGTGCTGGTAATGTTGTCAGTAGAAAGGTTTTCTTTATCAATATCACTGAAAGTTTTATTATAAGAAACTTCCAGATCTTCTTCCATTGTTGCCAGGTTTTCTACTGTCTCTTTTTCTATTCTTTTAAAATTAGTTGTTTCTTCTGAATTGGCTAAAGCCGTTTCTTCAGCTTGATACATGTTCATGTTTGGGTCTTCTGTGAGAACCTTCTGTTTTTGTGTTTTGAAAGTTTCTTTTTCTCCTTCCAAAGAAGCAATTCTGCTTTTTTTTTATTTGCATTAAACTCTTTGAATTGTAGCCGAAGTTTTACTGCTTGTAAGTATTAAGGACATTCTTTCTTGATATATCCTTTTTCATCACAAAAGAAACAAAGTTTTGGAGCTGAGCACTATTCTGTGGTGATTTTGTTGTTCATAAGAATATAGAATCATGGAATTCTTTCTTCTAATTTTGGATCATTAGTAGTTTCAATCCATTGGTCTGCTAAATATGAAGTATCCTCAATTAAAAATGGTTTAATAAAGGCAATTTTGCCTATATTATCGAAGGTTTCTCTAATTTCTTCTGATATAATATCTTTATCACTCAACGAAACATTTCTGATTTTGATTGGCAGAAAAGATCTTCTTGCATCAGAAGGGATGTAGCCATAGTATGCTCTGTCAAAGATTTGTATACCTTTTGAAGCATAATGCTTCAGTTTTTCCTTGTTTGAGAATACTAGTTCTAAATGAGTATATGCTTCTTTATTAATATGTGGCTTAGCTGCTATTATATTACATCCTGCAGTTTTATAAAATAAGATCATTATTTCATTTAGTGAGCCTGCTAGATATTGGATATCTATGATAAGAGCATTATTATTTCTTGACTTTATATTATTTCTTAGTGAGAAAGAAGAAAAAGTTGACTGTCCTCTTTTAACTTTAGCAAAAAGGCTTGTCCAAGATTTGTTCACAGTTTCTTTGCTTTTGTTTACTTTAGTTGAACTTAGTTCAGTTAATGGTGTCTTATATGAGTTTACACATGTTGTTGTTGTTAGTGCTAAGTTTTTATTGTTGTTAGGTTCTTTGTTACATGTTTCAAAATTGGATGCATCCAGTTCTTTGTTTTGGTTCTCTCTTTCTTCAGAGAGACCTTCTATATTTTCTAAAGAGACTTGTTCATCCCAACTGAGTGTGTTGTCATTGGTGTCAAGTTGTTCAGAAACTGCTAAAACTGTCAGGTAACTGTTTGCTATTGTAGTTTTCTCTTTAGAGTAAGAGCCTTTTTTTTTGTATGCAATAAGCTTTTCTATATTGAAGTAGTTAGTAAACTTAATTTTCTTGCATTTGTGAACCTCAAAAGTAGGAGTACTATGTTTCTTAGGAACAAGAAGAGATATCTCTGTTCTGATACTGTTTTTAAAAATAAAAGAGCTCTTAGATAGATTAATTTTGTTTTTTCTAAATTACTCTCAACTCTAAACACAAGTGGTCGAGAGAGAGAGATTGTCGATCTTTGCTTGCCTATAATATTACAATTGGTGATAGTATCTAATATAGTTTTAACTAGTATTTTATTAATTTTGCAAGATAAAATTCTCATTATAATGTTTTATTATATTTAATTCTACATTTTTAAATTCATATTAATAAAGAATAATTTTATATTTACAATAACTAAAGCTAATAGCAATATTGGGTTAACTTATTAAAATTTATAAGAAAATAATAATAAAATCGCATTACTAATAAAATCAATAAAAAAATTATCAATATCAATAAATGGTAGAGATACAGAAGTAGTTTGTAATTTAGGTTCAGAATGTTCAATTATTACTTATGAGATTGTAAAAAAATTGGATTTGGAAAAAATAAAAGTTTATACAATATTATTGATAAAGTTATATCTTATAGCATTAAACAGATATTAGGTAAAAAAATTCAGATTTCTCTCTGCTAATTACTGAAGATAGTAAACCTCAAAATTTAGCAAGATATTATAAACTCAATAATAAACTTAGATATTTCTTGGCAATGTAAGACTAAAAGAAAGTGCAAAGCTAGAAAAAAAACCAATTTTTAATAATACTGCATCTGAATTCTTATCTTCATCTGAATCTAGATCTGACTCTGAATAATATAATGATAATAAAGATTTTATTATAAATATAATAAAAGCAAAGAAACATGATTAGTAATTATATAGATCTATAATATCTGATATCTCAGTATTTCTTCTCAAGTTACTGAAATAACTGACCTATTATTCATTACATCATAATGCTCAACTGATAAAGCATGATCTATTTTATGCCTATATACCAATTGTTGTAAATATTAACAATAAGAATTATTTCTACCTTTATATATTCTGGAAACATGATTAGCTCCTATTTTTCTTAATATAAATAAGGTAATTCTATAGTAACTTAAGAATTAATTAAGTGGTACAACATTAGTATTTCTATTCTTATCTTTTAACAAGAAGGAAAATTTATCTGGTATTGATCTCTGAATCCAGATAAGTAATTCTCTTGCTCATATTGGATTTTTTTCTATTGAAAGAAATGATTAAGGTTCTTCTACTTCACCTTTGTTTTTTGCATAACCAATATAATACTAAGAATAGTTAGGATTATATCATGACTCATAACTTAGTCTGTATCAACTGATACTAGGATTTTTTACATTTGCCAATTGCATACATAACATTATTATTATATCTATTAAATTTTGCATTGAAGAAGGCTTGTTAATATTACATTCATTAAGTCTTTTCTGAACCTTTTTCAAATAAAAAACTTAGAACAATTGTAATCATTAATTTCATAAAGTATATGTTTTCTTGCTTAAATCTGAATTGCTTTTTTAGTAACAAAGAGTATTTTTGTTGCCTCAGTAATGAGATGATTAACTCTATGTTTGTGCAACTCTTTTTATAATAAATTAAACTGAGAATTTCTGGCAACAGTAGTAGAAGCAGAAGAAGCCAAGTTATATATTATTCTATTTATCTCTTTAGATAAGAGATTATTTTTTATAATATTCTAAGCAATAATTTTAATAGAATTTTTTTTATCAACATATCTTTTAGAAGATTGAATAGAGATAAGAATATCAGCTTGCTTCTTACTTAATTCCAACTCTTGAAAGCATCTTTTAGTCTGATCTTTAGCTTTCTAGGCCTGTTCTTTTGTCTTGCCATTTGAAAGTTTACTAGCCAACTCTTTAACATAACTACTAAGCTGTGATAAACTAGTTTGTAGAATCAATTTGTAGTGTTTTATAAATGATGTAGCAATTTTTATCATAGTTAGTATAGTGAAGCTAGTATCTTTGACACATATGTTAATTGAGATGATTTATGTAGACTATTTTTGTTTGATATATACTATGAGGATTCTTTTTTCAAATTAAAATTAATTACATTTTTTCCTTCTATATCTAGAAAAAAAGAGTTTATATATACCTATAGGGTAAGTAGGATGTTGATTTGAAATTTACTAATATAAAGGATATAATGAAAAAAATTTATAGCTTTGGAGATAGAAGCCCAGGCTATAATAACACTTTATAGTATTTTATTTTTATTTTTTGATATAATTCTCAAATGGTAATGAAGAAATCAAGACCTCTTCCCAATGCATATATCCATCACATATTAACTTATTATATATTGGTCTATCAATTGTAATTATATGATTTGTTTTGAGATTATAAATTTTTAACTTTCTCCAATGATTAGACAATTTGGATAATTGCTTAGCAGTAATTGTTTCTTTAGTATATTCTGGCTTTTTAGTGTATAATTTATATATTTTTTTAGTATAATATATGTAGTATCAGTATATAAAGTTATTTTATTTCATAATAAATTCAAAATATTTAAATTAATATTTATATTTAAATTTTATACATATATTATATATTATATTTTAGAATACTTTCATGAATAATGCTATTTGCCTTCATATTAAAAGAGATAGATTTATATTCAGAAATAAATGCTAGCAACCTATGGGTTGTTACAGACATTGGAGTTTATATAAGCGAAATATAGAAAAATTCTTCTGCAGTATTTGTAAAAAATCTATTATATCCATTACAGGGTATTGTTCAAAATATTCTGATTGATTTCATTCATTGAATTATCAAATAAGACAAAAAAAGCTTATTTTTCAAGTTTTGAGTAGGCAAAGCTCATGATTCGAAGTGTTAATTTTTTACAAGTATTGTTTTTAAGCATCACAAAAACCCCTTTGTAAGCTATATCATAGATTTTTATTAAATAAATATTCATTTTAACAGATATTAAATAGGTTCTGAGTATTTTGTGAAATAGAATTGAGAAAGTTTTCTATTTCATTAGGTGAAAGTTTATTATATCTATAATGTTTATCCTTTTTATTTTTATAAAAAAGACCTTCTTCTGTTTGGTATAATGGCAACTTTGGAGTATCTTTACTATCAAATAGACTAACTAGATAATAATACCTAAGATTTTTATCAATAGTCTTAAATTTTAATCTGTAAGTTTTATTCAATGCTGTATTAAATAATCTTAATTTCAATTTTATCAATTTTAAGCCAGATTTTTTAGTACTGTGAATTGTGTCTGTATTATCAAAAACCCAAGCCATTTTAGATACTAAACTCTAAAAATACTTTATAGATACAGGTAAGTCTAAGCATGATTTAACAATATCAGCTTTATATTTACTTCAATCATCAATATCTTTAACAAGTGTACAAGTCTTTAGTAATTTCAGACATATTTGATGTTTTTCTGCTTAAGTGATAGTCATGAGCCTATTATTTCTATAATTTTTATAAAGAATAGCATTAATCACTGTCTTATTATCAATACTCATATCTTGAAGTTTTCTGAGATTTCTAAACCATTTTATTTTATTATATTTATCATAATCTGTAATGAAGTCTTTAGTTAAAGATTTAGGTAGTATTTTATAGCAATTTGCAATATAATATTAACTTAAAGCATTCATTTCTTCTAAAGTCTTCTTTGGCTTGTTTTTTAGATATTCAGCTATCTTATAATTAAAAATATTGGCATTAGCAATGTCTAAAATTTCCTCTGCTTTAATAGCCAAAAAATACCCTTTTACTGTTTCAGTTAATGTCAAAGTATTATTTTTAGCTTTTGAAGTATTTTTTCTTATAGAAACTATTATATCTGCCTTTTAAAGAAAATCTATTATTCTTCATTCAAATAAATGACAAAATTAGAATTTTTTCAACATATATGTTACTCATAATCAAATTGTTGAAATATTCTTATTTCAAATTATAGATTTTACATTTGGAAATATTTTTTTATTCTGAAGCTTTGAAGGTAAAGATTCATGTTTTGCTTTTAATAACTAATTAAATAACTTTTCTTCTGCAATAGAAACATTAGATGGTCTTTGCTTAATATAACACATATAATCCTTAATACATCTTATATGAAATAGCATTTGATTTGTTCTAGTATTTGTTTTGATATAGCTGTTAAAGAAACAGAATGTCTACTCAAACTTGTAGTTAATACAAAAAATATTATTTTTAAAGTACTAATATATGCAACAAGGTTTACCTTTTTTATATTTCATCAACATTACCAAAATCTTGAGTCTTTTTAGCCAGATCAAACTTACTATAATAATTTTTAATATATAATTCAGAAAAATTAGGTTTAAAAGTATAAACAATTCCTTGTATATTCTTTCTGAGATAACAGATGAGAGATATACTTTTTTGTTTATTGAGAGGTAATAAAAACATTTGCTTAGTCCATTCTCAAAGTTTGGCTAATACAGTTTCTTTATTAGAAGCCAAGTGAAATATTTTACCTTTTTGAAATTAATAGGTGTTATAAATAACTAAGAAAAGTTTATTTTTGCGAAGGTTTTTTATCTATTTGATATTAAGGTCTGTAAGATCATTATCTATAACAATAATTCACTTCATCTTTTGAATTAATTTATATAAATTCTTTTTTAATTACTCTGCTAAATAGATATAGGTTTAAGCAATTATAGTTACTATTTTATTAAGCTATAAATTATATGATATTGAAGAACATTTACATTTCTTCTTGCATCTACATTTATTAATAATGTGATGTAAGCTTTCTATTTAACACACTACACTTTGATGATCTAAGAAATTAATATTATCATTGATATCAGTATATGATTTGAGGTTGAGCCTTGTAGTAATGGCATTAGAATAAGTGTGTTATGTAAATAATACAAGTAAGTTTAAGCCATCAGGTATTGTAAGATGCTCTAAAGTATAAGTTTTTTCTGTTTTTCAAGATGAGTCTATATATACATCACTTTTTTTAGATAAAGGTTCTATATATTGCTTCTCAAATACTTCTGTCATAGTAAGAGAAGATTCATATTTAATCCAACTTGGCATTTCTAAAAAGATTTTCAGAAACTTTGGGTTTTTTATTTTGAAATAGCTAGAGGCATTATTATTTTTTTGTTAGATTTTTTGTACAATAGATAGATCATTAAAAATTTCTTTTCTTTTATCTCTATTTTGCTAGAAGCATTTCATAATGAATGAACTATTATAACATATGCAACTGAACTACTGCTAATCTTTGTTATATATGTGTTTACAAATTGAATATTTTAAATATGCTTTTTGATTAAAGTATACAAAATACTAAGAATCTTTTTCTTTAATATCTCACCTTTCAAGATAATTGGAATATTTTTGCAGAACTAGATTAGCATATTTTTTTAGTGAATCTTGACCAACAATTATTTTTTTCTGATTTATTTTCTCTACACTAAGTATGTGAGGATATACTTCTAAATTTATATTAATTGGAGTTGAACTCAGCTGTCATTAAGATTGCACCACCCATTATCTAGTAAGAATTGGAGAATGTGCTTTATATAATCTTTTTTTGCTAAACCTATTAAGCAGAGACAGAAATTTTAACCAGATAACCTTCTATTAATAAACTTACAATATTTTTCTTCTATTAATCTGTATACTAATTCTGTAAATTCTTTGAGCTTCCAATAATTAACAAGAAGAGTTAAAGCATATAGAAGGTAATCACTGCATTTATTATTATTAGATAATGTTATAATTACCAACTTTTTAATAATTTCTTTTCAATTACAATTAAGAATTTGATATAATGCTCTTACAAATAAACAATAAATGCTGAAAAACATATTTTTAGTATTAACATTTTCAGCTTCTATTTTTTCTTTAGATGTGTCAATATTAATCACAGCTCTTAAAGGCTATTGCCTGTTAATATATTCATGAATTTTAGGTAACTTATATATCTCAGATATATTATCTATGACAGAGAACTTTGGTGCTTGTTTATTTTTTTGGTCAATTTGGATAATCAATCTATTGGTTAATTCTTTTTATGTATATATATTGAGCAGACTAATTTTTTTTTTGCTCTATCATTAGGTAAGAAATAATCTTATAAATATATATTTTTTAATAATCCTTTATTGTTCAACATATCTTTGGCAGATAAAGAAACAATTTTATAAATTTTATTTATCACATATTTTTTAGTAAATTTATCATTGAATTTTTTTTGCTGTTTAGTATATGTGGGACTCTTTTGTTCTGTAAATGATGTCATATTAGACACTTGTTTTTCTACTTTAGGGGTTGAGGTATTTGAGGCTTAATAGTACTTGTTTTAATATCTGACTCATAGTCAGAACTATAGTCACTGCAATTTTCTGACTTACCTTCAGATATATTATCACTATAGACATCTAAGTTACTTAAATAGTCATCAGTTTTCCTGCCTCTGTACTGCTTGAGTTGTGTGCTTTGTTTACTCATTTTTGGTATTTAGTTTTTTTATGTTATAAATCTATTAGTTAACAAAGTTATATTATTTCAATATATTTTCGAATGTTTAAATTATTTTTTTCAGTTGGTGGTAAGTGATAGTAAAAAATATGTATTGAATATTCTTAGCAAGAATGTAAATGAATGTGATAGAGATAAAAAAAACTTTATAGTATAATCTTTGGAAATTCTACTATATAGAGAAATAGAAGAATACACCACTCTAGCATATATATTTCAGGTATGTTTTTGATATGTGTTTGAGTAATGTAATTTTCAGTAATATTAGATTAAAAATATTAAAAAACATCTCATCTCGATTGGTATGATTAGTATAATTGAGTATGCTTTCAAAGTAGATAAAATGAAGTAATTTTTGGAAATATATTATATAAAATAAAAGAACACTTCATCTGATATGGTATGTGCTTAATGGTATGTTTTCAGATATATAATCAATAATGTGTTTTTAGGTAGGTTAAGATGAAATAATCTCTAATAACTCTATATAGTAAAGAAATATAAAAGAACAATTTACTTTTTTATAATATGCTTTCAGATAGGTCAAGATAAAATAATCTTCAGAAATAATATATAATAAATATAGAAGAACACTTCACTTTTTAATAATATGTTTTCGATATATTTTGGGTATATATTGTGATAAAAAACTTCAGATTTATTTATAATAAAAAATATTATTATATATTTGTCTTCTTACATATATACTTACTTTTTTTGTTACTTGTTTTATATCAGGCTCTCAAATATATATCTAACTGATAGCATATATATGATAGCATTATTGATAGCATAACCAGATATTATGTATATAGCATGGCCAAATAGCATATATATAGCATACCTAATAGCATATACATGATAGCATTATCAATAGCATTTTTTTGTAATATACTTTAGTACTTTGCAAACTGTATTGTGGAACAATAACACTTGTGTACTTAGGCAATTCTTCAAATCATGACTCTTCAAGTTTAGATACTGATGATAGTATCACTTTTCTGTCATCAAAAATGTATTATAAATATATATAGAGGTAAGTCAGTAGAAAAGAGACAAATTTTTTCTAAGTAAAAGTTTTCTTAACTTTAAGCTTAAATATTTTAAAAACTATTTTATTAAATTTGATAAA